AACTAGGAATGGTTTGTTCAAAAAGCTATGCCGGAGAATGTGCCCAGAGATCTCAATCTTTGCTCATGTTACTGAAGAAATCGGCTCAGCAAAGAAAGTTGAATGCGGATCTAGTAGCGATACAGAATGGGATATGTTAAAGAGAGAGCATAGAGTGTATAAATATTTTTGTTATTTTCTCGTTTCACGTATGAGAAATGAAGATTGTATTCTAGAACCTATTGAAGCTTCGAGCACCGATAATTATCCAGATGAGAGCATTAAGCACACATTGGAACCGATCGATCGAGGGAGAATTTGGCCTTTATATTGGTCCAGTAAAGGGGAAGGTGATCCTACAATTCCAGAGTATCTCACATATAGATTAAAATCCAAGTTATGCGTTGTGACTGAAATAAAGATACAACCATTTAAGGGTTAGTCTTACTGAATTTTATTTGATTTGCATTGTTGTTCATGCCTTTGGTGATCATTTTCAATGAGTTTTATTGTTTGTTATTGTTCTTTGTTACCAGCATTTTTTCAGTTCAATTATCCGATATACTCATCAGGGGCTGTGAGGTTTAGGATGGGGTACTCCAAAACACCTGAAGAGACAAAAAGCAAAGTTTTATCGGGGCAGCGATATAATACTGATGACAAGTACAGCTGGACGTATGTTTCTCCAGAGTTTCCAATGAATCAGGTATGAGGAATCAATCTTGAACTCTCCTGGTTAATGCTTAATTTGGACATGCCATTTGAGCAACTGTTTTTCTTTTAATATTGAATACATGAAAGTATTGTAAACTCGAGTTGCTGCATTTCATTGTCAAGACTCAGTCACTGAAAATATTCAAGTCCAACTGCAGGATTAATTAAGTTTCTTTTCCCCCCCTTTTTTTTCCGTTTATCATATGGTAAATATTGTAGACATAATTTTCACATTATGGCCTAAAAATTTGTTATTAGCAGGAAAATTCCTTGCAATCATTTAAGCTTCCTCGTCCTGTCATCTGCACTGGTGGAATTTTACAAGTAGAACTGCTCCGACGGGTTCAAAAACAAGAAATCGATGATTTATTCTATATCTGGTGAGTTTCTAAATTCTCATTGAAATATCCAATTATATAAGAGTCAATATTTGATCATTCCAACCTGTTAAAACAGAAGATTTCTCTGAAGGTCGCCTTATTGTTGGTTAAATCGTCTCTTATACCTTCTTTTTCCCCTTTGGGTTTTGAAGTATTTGTCACGTTAAGGTGATCGGGAGCAATCTGTCACCTGTTTTCGACTGCGATGTTCCTCATGAAAGCATCACCAGTCCAGTCCTTAAATACTTCCCAGATGCCAAGGAATTTATCTCTTGAGTGAAGGTTCACAGAATAGAGATTACGTTGTTCAATCGAGTTTTGATGTAACGTGTAATGTAACATGTAATATATTAGCTTGTAATAGCGTCGTATGTATGTATGTAACATGTAATGTAGGACGTAGGATATTACTTTGTTCCATCGAGTTTTGATGTTCTTATTTCGAAATGTAAATGCGTATATGACTTGAGATGGTCAATTTAGGCCGAGATTTTACGGCATGCAGAATGTGTGCATTGTTTGATAGCAGGAATAGGTACTTGCTGTAGAAATGGCATTCCTCGTGTTTGGATCGATCGAGCGAATGGTTCCTACGCCGTGAAAATTTGGTGAGGTGAATCATATGTTGTTGAGTTATAGTCTAATTAGTAAAAATTAATTATGAGGAGCAGTAGGAAAGTAGTTAGTGAACCTAATCCTTGAGAGATAATTAGGGATACATGGTCTAATTGGATTGGACTTGATAAAGGCTTAGGAAAGAAAGTGTGACTTTTGGGCTAAAGTTCAGTTCGAAACTGTCCGACCTTAGAAAACGCGGGAGCTGATTGCCGACGTGGCACTGGTCTGGTTTAAGGGCCCAAGATCCGATACGACTCATCCTTGCTTAGGTAATTAATCTTTTTAATCTCTTTTAATCTTCTCTACATTAATTATTGTTCAGTTAAGACCGTTCTAGGGGTTCTATTAATTTCTAACAATCTCACTTAATTTAGTATGTATTATTTTAGGAAGAGTTAGGGTTTCTAGACTGCAGTCTATATTTAGTGATTCGTTGAGTTGTTGTTCATTGTGATAAGGTTGGAACGAGTGACGGTCTCATTATATCATGTTGTTACTCTTAATTTATCTACTTGAAGTTTAACTTGTTATAAATCAAGAGAATCTAAAATGCCATCATACACAAGATGATCAACTCTACCTTTTGAGATATGACCCAAGCGCTTATGCCATAATGTACCCGAATTTTTCTTATTTAATTTACGCTTAATATCACGTGATTCCACATGCAAGGATTCATTATAAGAAGCAATTGTATCAAGCAAATATAGGTTGTCATAAGTTAAGAAGCAATTGTATCAAGCAAATATAGGTTGTCATAAGTACTCAAGTAACCGGTTCCCACAACATTTAAATTAAAAGATAATAGGTTGTCATAAGTACTCAAGTAACCGGTTCCCACAACATTTAAATTAAAAGATAAACTAAATTGACTGTTTATTTTTTCTTAATGCAAGGTCTAGATTCATGCAGCCAAGAATAATTAATATGTTCTCTTTCCAAACCTTGAAATTAGTCTCATTGAGCATGAGAATTGAGTTGATGTTAGCAGAAATTATTGCAGCAGATGCATTAGCTGAAATAAACAAAAGATACTCACATTATTAATCGTAATTAGTAATCAATAAAACTCAAATAATAACAAATCTCATCTTAAGATATCTGACACAATATTAATATCAAGTCTTTGGATAGTAATATTAATTGTAAGTGATACATGGTTGCAATGATCAAACATTGACAATAACTCATGTCAAATAATGAAACTATCTTTGGATCGATTCATTATTCACATGTAAACCTTATAATTGTCACACATTTATCATCACAGATATGTATGCAATCTAAATAAATATTAACCTTTTCTTTGAGCCGATTAAATATTTACACGAAAACATACACATAAACATCTAACATCCCTCATGAACAATCTACACAAGAGGTTACTTTGGCAACTTCTTGTTTTAATTAATCATGTAGAATGAGAGACAGCTTTAATACCCAGGTGTCATATTATTTGAATTAAATAATTAGTTAACTACCAAATTTAATTCAAATTAAATAATTTAATTCAAATTAACTAAAATTTTAAAAAACTTAATTAAGAGCATCATAGCTTAATTAATTAAATTAAGCACACTAAAAATTGGGCCTATAACTTAATAAGGCCCCACCAAAATATGTTTTAATTGGTATATCCAATTAAACCATTCTTAAAGAATTTTAGGTCCATAACTGAATGGGTTTAAGTGGGCTTGGACTTGTGCAAACCCAATAAAGAATTGATTTTAGTGGGTTTGAGGTCATGTGCCCTAACAAAATCGAGGAAACCCCAAATGAAGTCTACCTTCGGTTTCTTTTAACTGATGAAACACAATAGACGCAACCCTCTCCTTTCACCCGATGGTAAAGAAGAGAACGCCAGAGAACGAACGCGAGGTTTGTTTGAGAACGAACGCAAGGTTCGTTTGAATTGAGCATGAGGCTCGACTGAGAATGAACACGGGGTTCGACTTGAGAACGAACGCGGGGTTCGACTTAAGAACGAACGCGAGGTTCGACTTGAGAACGAACGCGGGGTTCATTTGGATCGAATCGAAGTTTGCTGAAGCTTTCAAGTGGGGATGCAGCTTGATTAGCAACACAGTTGCAGTTTAGTTCTTGTTTTTTTTTGTTGATTTTTGTGTTTTTTGGGATTTTTATTGAGGTTTTTGTGTTTGGGTTTGTTTGGGCTTGAGTAGGAAAATCACTCTTAGGGCCTGTTTGGTTCGTTTCCTCCATTTTTCAAAACTCATTTTTCTTCACTTTCATCATTTTCCACCCTTACAAATCTCCCACATCAACCAATAACATGGTGACAACTCATCTCATCTCATTTCTTACTTTTAAAAATAAACTAAACACAAGAAATGTGTCACATCAATCAACTCATCATCTCATCTCATTTCTTACTTTTAAAAATAAACTAAACACAAGAAATGTGTCACATCAATCAACTCATCCAACTCACATCATTTCTTACTTTTAAAAATAAACTAAACACAAGAAATGTGTCACATCAATCAACTCATCCAACTCACATCACCCCATTTTCCTTCACTTTCTATCATCTTTAAAAATTACTCACATCATCCAATAACATGGTGACAACTCATCCCATCTCATTAAAATTTCCTTTCCATCCATTTCCTCCAAAAAACAAGGAAATTGATCTTCTTAAGTATGAGTCACATCATCCAATAATATAATGACAACTCATCTTCTCTCATCTATTTTCTTAGTTTTAGGAATGAACCAAACACAAGAAAAGAACCCAAACAAGGAAAGTGTAGGAAAACATCAAAAAATACTCATCTCATCCAATAATGTGGTGACAACTCATTTTCTCCCTCACTTTTTTTATAGATTTGACAAATCAAACATATGAAAATGGAGGAAAACATCAAAATTCACCTATATCAATTTTCTTTCCCCCACCTTCCCTCACTTTCCGCATTTTTTTTTACGAAACAAACATGCCCTTCTTCGCCATGTACTTTAAGCTCATGCAACTGATGCCATCCTCCACATCTTCTAGACTATGAAGAAATGGGTTAAATGTGTGAATTTTAATTTTGTACACCAGAATCTTAGTCACTGCTATTGCATCATTTTCCTATAATTTTTGTGAAGTAGTACTCACCTATAAAATTTTCTTATGTGGATAATTAGAATGCAAGGAAGGAGGTCAATTCAGTTCTAAAGAAGGAAGCAGAGTATTTTGGAGATATTGTGATCTTGCCATTTATAGATCGCTATGAGCTAGTTGTTCTTAAGACAATGGTCATTTGCAAATATGGGGTGTGTTCTATTTACTTCGGTGCTTCTTAGTTGAACCCTTTATTTCTCATTGTGCGCTAAATAATAGTTCTCTCTTTGTCAATCATCACTAATGCTGCAGGTTCAAAATCTGACTGCTGCATACATAATGAAATGTGACGATGATACATTTATTAGGGTGGATGCCGTGTTGAAGGAGATTAGGGGTGTTTCTCAGAAGAAATGACTTTACATGGGTAACATTAACCTCCTGCATCGGCCTCTAAGAAGTGGAAAATGAACAGTAACATATGACAGAATGCTCATTTTGTAACTCAATACACAAAGTAGGTTTACCAAAAAAAATATTGTAGCAAGTATCCTAGACGGAAATTTCGTCTAGGATATTATATCTTAGACGGAAATTCCGTCTAGGATATAGCATCCTAGGCGGAAATAAAATCTGTTTAGGTAGCTTTCTAGACGGAATTTTTCCGTTTAGGAAGCTTCCTAGACGGATTTTACTTCCGTCGAGGATTATCCGTCTAGGATGCATCCTAAACGGAAATTCCGTCTAGAATATCGTATCCTAGACGGAAACAAACTCGACTCACGTCCTAGACGGAAATTCCGTCTAGGATATGTTTTTTAGACGGAAATGAGAGTATCCTAGACGGAATTTTCCGTCTAGGATGCCTCATTTTGTACTAGTGATTGAGTTGCAAAGAAAAATAGAAAGAGACTTTGTGAGTGGTGCGTATCTATTGATTAGGTCGAGAGAGTTCCTTGAGGAACTCAATAAAGGCTAAAACTTTGAATAATCATAAAGAACACTCAAATCTCTTCTCATTGATAGATGATTGCTATGCGCATAAATCTCATGTCTTTTGTCTAACATCTCTCTCTCTCTCTCTCTCTCTCTCTCTCTCTCTAAATGGTATGTTTTCTCTTTGTCCGAACTTGGTGCATCTTGTTTGTTTCCCAGATGCGAAGTAGATTAGAAGGTGCAGATTTAGTTGAGTAGATTCGGACATAGCTTCCACAGTACCGATTGCTTCCACAATTAGTGTGAGAGTCGATTGCCACATCAAAGCCATATGTGTAAATTATGATAAAGATAGCGTAAACAGATTTTGTAATATATGTAGGATTACCATTAAATATCACAACCAAGAGATCCTTTTTAACTACGTACTTTTAACAGTGACGATTCGAAAACACATCAAACACAAGCTCCTTTTAATGAAAAAAAAAGTGGGGAAAATCGATCACATCCAAATTAAAACCCAAACCAAACCCAAAACCAAGCGAACGCCAGCAACACATCAGCAGCATCCGTGCACAAACTCCTTCACCTCCTCACAAAGCGCCTCAGCCTTCGCGGCATCAAACAACTCGGCGGCATGAGACCCATCCTCATCAAACCTGCCCACTACGTCAGCCCCAGCTCTCTCCAACATCTCCACAAACATCCGCTGCCTGTCAACCAACGGGTCTCCTTTGCTCCCCTTCACAAAAACCCTCGGTAGCCGCTCGATCTGATCAGCCACCGACGGCTTCACCGTCAGGTTGCAGTACTTGTGGT